AACCCTCATGAAGGTTAATTGCTGTGTTCCCCTTAAAAACGCTAAAACGAAGGCAGGCATCAGAAACTAAGGTGCGCTGGGGTGTCTGATCTCTAGGGATGTTTAGGGTTTAGGGTTTAGGGTTTAGGGTTTGTGTGTGGGGTGCAGCGCCGTAGACGCCTTTTTGTCTAGCGAGTGCTGCATCTGCGGCAGTTTGATGATCCGCTCAATTCAAGTACCGCTGGTAGACCCCACAGACACCGAGCAGATTGAAGCCTGGGCTCTAAACCCTAACTCTCTAAACCCTAGCTCTTCTAAACCCTAGCTCTTCTAAACCCTAGCAATTCTAAACCCTAATGAACCCTCAGCAAACCCTAGGCCTCACGGACACCGCGCATGTTGAGGCGTGGGCTCTGAACCCTAACTCTTCTAAACCCTAACTCTTTTAAACCCTAGCTCTTCTAAACCCTAGCTCTTGTAAACCCTAACGAACCCTCAGCAAACCCTAGGCCTCACGGACACCGCGCATATTGAGGCGTGGGCTCTGAACCCTAACTCTTGTAAACCCTAACTCTTGTAAACCCTAGCACTTCGTAACCCTCAGTAAACCCTAGCTGTTCATAAACCCTCTATGCATACACCCTACCTCGTAATAATACCTAGCTAGCCTAAACCCTAGTTACGAATAAACCCTGACTCTAAATACACCCCAAGTCTAAACCCTAATAAAACGAAGTCCGCATAACCATTTCCTATATATATATATATATAAATATATATATATATATAGATGATACTATGAATAGTCTTATATACTCCTAAGTGAACGCCCCGACGATCTACAGACAGACAACGCGAATAAACTAACACCCCAACCCCACCACCCCTCCTTCTAGCCTCAGCTAGCTAGCTATCTACGTCTATCCACAGCTAGCTACAGCTAGCTACAGCTAGCAGTTGAAGCCCGTGCGCGTTGCAACTCAACGTAAAGTACCAAAGGAGCCTTGAGGGTCTCCTTAAGCCGCTGTTGTCTCCTGTCCCTCAGCAGAGATGCCTTCGAGGGAATAGCTGGGGCTGCTGCAGCAGTCAAGCTTGGCCGGCGAGCTAGCCATCCACTAGCTAGCTAGCTAGCCAAGCGGTGCTTCCCTGGCTAGCCAACCAGTAGCTATCTAGCAAGCTACCCATTCACTAGCTAGCTAGCTAGCTAGCTAGCCACTAGGTAGGTCGGTAGCTAGCTAGCTAGTCAGTAGCTAGCTCGTAGCTAGGTAGCCGGATAGCTAGCCAGCCAGGAGTGGCCAGCCAGCAGCTAGCTAGAGCTGCCTATACAAAAAAAGCCCAGTGCATCTGTTGCTGCACAGGTGTGGAGCCACCCAGCTAGCTAGCTAGCTAGCTAGCTAGCTGGGCGCCTACCTCAGGCTGTGCTTCTGGGGGGCTGGCCGGCCCAGGAGCAGCTGCAGCAGCAGCAGCCTCGGCTAGCTGTTTGTACTGCGGCTCGCTAGCTGCACTGAGAATGTGTGAATATTGCTGTATTTTACAGCATTAATTGACAGTAATATGCTGCAGCTCCTCACCTTTGTCTGCAGCAGCAGCAGCAGCAGCAGGAGGCCCTATAAGAACTAGAGCCTGAGGTGCAGCAGCTAAGCACTCCTCCATTTTAGCAGCAAATTCTCTGAGGTCTTGTCTGCTGGTACTCAAGATTTGATGTCTATACCTGCTGCGGTGTATAGGCTGCTCAGCATTAAGCAGCTGCTCTAAGCTCTTTAAACCCTTTGCCTCTACAGAGACAGGAAAATCAAGAAGGGATATAACAGGAAGGACTGCTTCTAGCAGCGCTCTCTCTTCTTCTTCATCAGCAATGGACTCAACCCAGCTCTCAGCAAATGCAGCAGCAGATCTGAATATCTCAAGTGTCTCCGCAGCTTTAGGGTCTCTATAACTTAAAAATGATAATAAACCATCAGCTGTATACCGAGCCCAACCCCCATAAGCACCTCCTACTTCTCTTATTTGTTTTAATATAAACAATAAATCTACACGAGACACACCTACAGCATCTGAGCCTAAATAGGGAGACCCCGGAGGAGACAGCGGGAGAGACAGAGACAGGTCGCTCACCTGAAGCAAAACAAACAACGAGGAGACACAACAGCCCCTACAAACGAACAAACTATATGCTATATAGAGAGACAGAAGCAGCATAAAATAGACAGACAGAAGCAGCATAAAGAAGAGGAAAAGAAAACAAACAAAACAAAGAAAATTAAAGACACAGAGACACCCTAAACCCTAAACCCTAAAAATGCAGAAGAAGAGAATATAAAAACATTAAACACACCAGCAAACCCTAAACCCTAAACCCTCGAAAAAGGCAGCTCAGGGTTCGTAATGAACAGGCGTAAACCCTAGCAGCAGCTGTAAGAGGTTCTGAGGTGTCTGCATATACAGCTGAGGGGTAAATTGTTGTGGTTTGAGGTGCCTATACACCGGAGCATGATTTGAATAGTCTCTCTCTCACCTGCGCAGGCAGGAGGAAGGCAGTGCTGCGGCTTTGCTGCTGCAGCAGCTGCTGCTGCTCCGCTTCGTCTGCCCACTTGGGCTGTCTATCGCTTCTTCTAGTGAGGAGCACCTCTCGGGTGTCTCCTCCTGTTAGAGTGTACGGTCTCCCCTCTGGAACAGATTGTATAAAATCTAATAAAGCAGCTCTGCCGTGTCCCTCTAAAGCATCAAACAAACTTTCGCTGTCTCCTGTTACATTTATTAATAAGTTCTCGCGTCGAAGCAAACGATGTCGCAGTGATTGCAGACGCGCGTGCACTGGACCCCAATCCGACTCCGCCTATACACAAACCCTAAACCCTAAACCCTAAACCCTAAACCCTAAACCCTAAACCCTAAACCCTAAAC